GGGACCTGATCAGCGTGTATAAATACCTCAAGGGAGGCAGTGAGGAGGAGGGGGGCGGCCTCTTTTCAGTGGTGGGCAGGGATAGGACTAGAGGAAATGGCTTCAAACTGAAGCATCGGAAGTTCCACAGGAACTTAAGGAAGCATTTCTTCACTGTGAGGGTGACAAAGCACTGGAACAGGCTGCCCAGAGAGGTTGTGGAGTCTCCTTCTTTGGAGATCTTTAAAACCCGCTTGGACACAGCCCTGTGCCACGTGCTCTGGGTGACCCTGCGTGAGCAGGGGGGTTGGACTCGATGAGCTCTAGGAGTCCCTTCCAACCTTCGGCATTCTATGATTCTATGATTCTATGATTCTATGAAATATTGCAGACTTTCTTGGAGCAGCTGTTGCTGAATATTATCCTAGGGAAAACTTCTGCTGTGATTTGATAAGGTTTGCTTTCTAAAAACACAATATTTTAAAAAGTTGTTCTAACACCTTTTTACAGGTGCTGTTGTACTCGAAATTTCCTGTTTTTCTGAAGCTGAAAGAATATATATGCTAGTTAAAGATACAACTGTCAATGACAAGCCTCTGACCGGTGTGGTGATTCCTGAAGTTATGGTAAGAGATGAGGTTGAATTTATAACTTTTGCAGGAAAAAAAAAAAAAAAGGAAAGGAAAGGGGGAAAAAATGGACTTTTCCTGATGGAAATGCATAACGATACAGGATATTCAAGGAAGCTATACAGTGGGTTTCTGTAAACAGTGTAGTGGCAAAATACTGAGAGCATTTACTTCCTGTGTCTGATACACTTCTGTGGCTTAGAAGCCATTTGTCCTATTACTCTTGATTAAGAAGAAGTGTGAAACTAACTATAAAACTATAAAGGTGAGAAAACATAGCATGTTTGTTGATCCCCTTAAACGGGAAATCCCACACATCTGCCGAAGAGTGGCCTTTGCCAAATTTAGAGTAATATAGTGCGTGTATATATATAAAATATTAGCAATAATATATGTAGTAGCACTAATAAAAAATTAATCTTTAAAGCAAATGCTTAGAGGCAAGAAGTTTTGTAAGAGAGACGAGCTCATTTGGTTGCTGCTGCACATAAGGTTCCTGGCTTTTATTCATCAGAAGAGTGTGAAGATGGGGCTGCTTTTGCATGGTTATTTAGGGTGGGATAAGGGTGTCTTTTTCCTGATTTAAGATATTAGTTGGAAACTCCATAGCCTGCTACGGTGGGATTTCAAGTGTATAAGAGGACAGGGTCTGTACTGATGGACATGCATTTTGTTTCTCCTCCAATATTTGCTGTTTTTATTTGGCCATCTCACTGAAAAGAAACAAGATTTAATGAAATATTTCATGTTCATTGTTCAAATGGCCTTAGCCCACGCCGTTGCTCATGACAGCCTCTTTGCAAAAGCCAACTTTGCTTGGAGCGCAGGAATTCCTGCAGTTCCTGGGGAAAACTTGGCATGCACCGGGATGCACTGCAGATGCCTGGCTGGCACAGGACTCCCTGTGCTGCCCTGTTACAGGATGGGATTACACTCAGCAGAAGAGGCATGCGCTGGAAGGACAAGTTTCTTGCATGGGCCTGAAACCCCTTTCTGCAAACCCTGTGAATGGAGCAACGTGCAGTGGCTGCTGCAGCGCATGAATCCCGCGCCCTCCCTTACCTGCCTGTGAGAAATAGGCAAAAAACACCCTTCCTGATCATCAGCCAGCGCTGATGCAGACCCCCTTGTGAGCACTGGAGTGTCTCGGAACTTAGCGGGTCCCAAAAACCAGTGCAAGACCCTAGAGGTCTCGGTGAACTTCTTTTAGTCCTTGTTTTTAAACACAGTTCTTTAAAAATTGTCCCTAACAGCAAGTAAACCAAAACATCTGCCCGGTATGTCGCTGTTAAGTGTCCTCAACCAGTGTTTTTACACTCAGATTTCTTGAAGAAGAGGAGGTAATTGCATGCTCTTGTCTTTGTCGTGATAAGGTATTTGACTAAAGTTTTGGCCTGGATGCTTTCCTGTCCTTGTTTACTTTGAGCTGCAGAGATAGCTTCGGTTTTGCCCCTTTTTCTCTCCCTTTCCCCTCCCATTTCATTGCACTTTTTTTAAACCCCGGAAGCTTTCCAAGTGGAAACAAGACTGAGGCTTCATCCAGCTTATCTTGTTAAGAAAGGTGAAATGGTTGAAGGCAGCAATGAAAGGAAAGTGACCTTGTGAGGACTTAGCACAGAGCAGAAGTAGTCAGAATTCCAATTGTATTTTTTATTAATGTCTGTGAAGGCTAGAGGGGGAAAAAATCCGTCTTTCAAGCTGGAATGTGTGGCTCCTGGACATGTTGACATTATAATTCAAGAACCCCTCCTTTTAGGCAACAGTAGCGTGCATTGTTTTGCTCAGACTTCCTTTTGCTGGTTGCAAATATCCATTTTGTTTACTTAGCAGAAATAAGTGTATTCCCTCCCCCAGCATTTTTTTTAATGTTGGGCGCAATCTGAATAATTGCTTCCCCTTTTTCAGTGAAGTCTGAGTATGGAGGTGAGGGATTTCTTGACCTAGAAGCCAGATTCACTGGTTAAAAGAGCATTTCTTGGACTCTAAACTTAAGCTCTATTTGCAACCTGTTTGCTAGTGGTGAGAAAGGGACAACAGGGCTGTGGGGCTCTCTGTCTGTCAGCCAAAATAGTCCTCGTCTAATGTTTTTGGGTAGAAAACGTGCATTTTGCAGTTGATTGTCTCTAGTGGAATCTAAAGATTCCACTACATCACAGCTAGTCTACACATCACAGCTGATTAAAGGAGGTATTTGGCAGGTAGGCAGTGACACAGAGGGGAGAATCTTTTATGTACCTGCTGCTGTCTTGACATATGTAACAGAATCTCACTTGGTAAGCATTATTGGGACATTTTGGGCAGGTATCTGATATCGAGATGACAACACCTATTCTTCATTTTTAAGCATCCAAACCAGCATACATGGTCTCTTCCATGTTTGCAAGATGTTGCTGCTGCTTCTCCAAATAATTCTTGTCTAAATGACTTATATTTAGCACTGTTGTTCTTTTCCCTGGATTCAACCCATCAGCTACGTGACAAATTACTGTTCCCTGAATGCTGTCCAATAAGTAAAAGCAAATTGGCCTTAACTTAGGAACTGTGGCAAACAATTCAGTTTTGAAATATACTTGTTGAAGTGCCCAATAAACTTATTTAACTTGCACTTACCCAAGAGCCATATGAAAGTCGTAAGCGCTGTCTCAGAAGGAATGAAAAGTGTCTCAGGGTATTTTAAAAACATTTCTTGGGTGCTCCTCCTCGTAATTAAAAGTTCTGATCTCTGCTTAGGCTACAGACACTATTTGTACTGTATGGTACACTGATAATCTGAGAAAATTACTTTGTGTACACTTATTTAAATACATAATTTTAAAAGAAGCTTTCGGTCTTTGTGGGAGGAGGTGTGTCAGTGTCTGCCCTAAACTGCCTGAAAATTTTGAATTTTTTTGTCCTATAAATGTTTGGTGATCGTGTTAGAAAACATGCAGAAGAAATGCTTCAGCTGGTTTTTGGAAGGTGTCCCGTTTTAGCAAGAAAATTATTTGGAGGAATGTGATTCTGAAAGTCATTTTGTCCCTCAAGCTGTACATTTCTATGTCCTATTTGCTGACAGTTTAGCAAGGCCTGGTTATAATGCATTTGTTTTTAACATTATGACAAACTCTTTAGTTAGAGTAGGCAAAGGATACCTGAGTTTCCCAAAACACAAGATCCACTGCTTGTCTGTCCATTATCTGAACTTGAATCTTTTATTTGTTGAATTTGAATTTTTTCTTCCTTTTTTTTTTTTTTTTCAATGAACTCTCTATGAGGTGCTTTGAAATGTAGCAATAATTTTCCTGCAGTGGCTGTTTTTTTTTGGCTAATCTTTTTTCTTTTTTTGTCCTCGCAGGCTTCCAAGATACCACAGAACTGCTGCCCACTTCTTGTATTTGTGAATCCAAAAAGTGGGGGTCTGAAAGGTCGGGATCTGCTCTACAGTTTTAGAAAGCTGCTAAATCCCCATCAGATCTTTGAACTTACTAACGGCGGCCCACTGCCTGGGTAGGTTGTGGTATTTTCTTTATTATTGCTACTATTTTGTTAGCTGTTTTGGAAGGATCAGATTTACTGGATATGAAGATCTAAACTGCATCTGTTCACTGGATAAGCCCATATAAATAAATAACTTTTCCTCTATACCTGAAGACCAGAGTGGTGGGTCACCCCTTCCCACTGATCTGACTCTGAAAACAAATGAAAACTTCACAATTCTCTACTGAAAAGGGAACAGAGCAGTTTCTGATATGTGAGCTCATATCAAGGCTAAAATAGTCCAATCCTGGGAAAGTCATACAAATTTTATTATAATACATAACTAATAACTATTTTCAGTGAAAAGATTTTATGGTGAACCAGGATTGGAAAGAAAAATGTCATATTGCCTCACAATGGTGCTTATTTTTATTCTGATGTTTCATAGAAACCAGCAGGAAGTTACAATAAAATTTTCTATCTGGACTCCTGGAGCTTGTCCAGAGCAGCAGATTTAACAGGGGCTGCGCGATCCCAGCTGCAGCATTTCTAAATATAAGCAGCAGAACTTGATGTGCTCGTGGGGAGGCAGTGGTAAATTACTTGATTTAAGCAGTGCAGTTTTGTTACCAGCTCCATAGAGCAGAATGGTGGTCGTGGTTTACTGAAAGCACAGTGGGATTTCGGTGCTGTTTTAACAGCAGTAAGTGTTGTTAAACCCACAGATTTCTTTTCTTTTTTTCCCCTTGAGTAGCTTTATGGCAAAACGCTTTCACTTGTTTACTGCTCCCTGTGAAATATAAGTTCCTTGGCAGTATGGCTTCATAAGTAGGGATGAAAAGTCAGGAAGTGTGAGAGCAAAGGATAAAATGGCACTATAATCTGTATTACAAGTGCTATCAAAACACAGTGCTTGTACTGCAGAAAGCATTAATTCAGAAAAATCCCCAAAATTTAGAGATTTACAGATTTTCAGATTAAAATGGTGAATAATCAAATCTCTGTTTTTAGTGAAAAAGAAATTCATCAACTCCATTAACCTCATTATTGCCAGCTATGAAAAGCCGTAGGGCATTGTGTTTTTCACTGTTTTTAAGCCCATAAAAAGAAGCTTATATATATCTGCTGGCTTTCTTAAATTTGCTCTTGAAACTAAGGATGGAGGGAGAAGCCAGTGATCACTTAGGAGTGTTTAGTTTCCAGCAGCCTGTTGGAAGTCTGTGTCTCTCCCATGCCCCTGCCTGCCCCCTCACCTCCCATCCGCTCCGTTTATCCATGTCCTGCAGGTTTCTCACGGTCTGCTCTGTTCCTACGTGTTCCACAGGTTCCACACGTTCTCCAGGGTGCCCTCCTTCCGAGTGCTGGTGTGCGGCGGGGACGGCACCGTCGGCTGGGTCCTCGGCGCCCTCGAGGAGATCCGGCACAAGCTGGTGTGCTCGGAGCCCTCCGTTGCCATCCTGCCCTTGGGAACGGGTGAGCAGAAGGCGTTTGGGAAGGCTCTTCCTTTCTCTTCTCATCTCGCTTTGCTCTTGTGGCCCTGACCTCCATTCATCTTCTCAACACACTTGCAATCACCATTAATTTAGTGGCAAATATGTTACTTGGAGGGCTAAGTATCTTCTTAGTGCATGTGAATTAGGATAATAGTTCAGTATCAAACTCGTGATGATGGAAACTAACAACTTAGTTATGTCCTGATGCCTTTTCCATAAGGACTGCTGAAAAAAAAAATGGTATCATAACCATTAAATCAAAATAATGAACTCAGCAACTTGAATTGAGGCTGGCAGAGGACAGAACAAAGACTCAACTTTCCACATAGCTCAGGGTTGTGTTTAGATTTGGTTTTGCCTGTCAAGTTGTCATTTGAGTTCAGCGGGTCCTGATTAATGGGAGGTCATTGTCAGCCTGTCACGGGCTGAAAGGTGCTTCAGATTCCTATTTTCTAGTGAAATGGTATAAAGACCCCTTCTCTCTCTTACCTACCCCAGATAGTATCCATCACACAAAGTGTACCCCGTTCTCAGTGTGAAGTTTCTTAATTTTGACACTTTGGAAATCGCTTCATTTTGTGGCATTTTGTGACACTTGCATCCTCTGTCCCAGAAGATGGTCTCTCCCCTTGTGCTGGGGTAGGAAGGGACTGTTTGGTTCTTTATTGATAATTTTCACTAAACAGAGTCGTTTTGTGGGACTCTTCACTCAGGTAACGACCTGGGGAGGGTGCTGCGCTGGGGAGCTGGCTACAGCGGCGAGGACCCCTTCTCTGTTCTCATCTCCGTGGACGAGGCCGACGACGTGCTCATGGATCGCTGGACTATCCTCTTGGATGCCGAAGAGCCTTCCGAAGGAGCGGAGAACGGCCTGGCCGAGCCCGAGCCCCCCAAGGTGACAGTGTGGGCACCTTTTCCTCCCAAGGAACCCTTGTGCTGCCCAAAGGATTTAGCACAGTTGGGTCTCTGTTGCTCACATATTTTCATGTGTGGCCCTTAGTAAGGAATTGTTTAGCAAACATGGCAAATGTCTGAATCATTAGCCTGGCACGTGGAAGGGTGGTTAAAAGGCATCAAATAGGTGAAGCTGAGGTCTGTGCTTAAATTATTTGCTCCTCAAGATTAGGGGAAGGAGCCGATGATGTCACAGTGAATCCATGGTTAGTGCCAAATGTAATGGTGGCATTAATGTTCAAGATGTTGTGTGTTTGTTGCATGGGATCACTTTGAAAAGTTGGATTTGTTTTATTTCTGCGTTTACGGGACTCACTTAGGTTTCTAGCAGATACTAATTGAATTTAATTTAGGCACTCCTGATAGTTACTACTTACATGATAACTACTCAATAATTGCCCATACTTACATAACTTACTCGATAATTGCGCATAAAATTTCACTTTTAGTACTGCACCTCTGGAATTTATTCTCTTAAGCCTGTTCAAGTGCAGATAGTTTGGAAGAATCATTTCCAAAGCATATTTCAGTTGAAAACTTACGGAAACTTGGTTTGAACAGTAAGCCTTGAGGAAATTATAAGGAAGGATTTCTGTTTGCTCGTTTGTTTTATTAGATTGTACAAATGAACAATTACTGTGGCCTTGGCATTGATGCAGAGTTGAGCTTGGACTTTCATCATGCTAGAGAAGAAGAACCTGGGAAATTTAATAGCAGGTAATCCTGGGGAGGAAGGGAAGCAGGGGGTGGGTATGCAAAAATATTTCTGTATTGTGGTATTTCATAATTGCTGATTTAAACCATGACTGGTAATCTCAAAGTGATACGAATAATACTACCTGAGGCAAGCCTAGCACAGTGAGAATGAAACTATCTATTAATTCTTACATATGGAATTTATGTGGGGTTTGTTTTCCCAAATGAGAAAGCCAAAGCAGTGTGTGGAAGAATTGTTGTTATTATTCAGGATACTGGCTTGCCAATATTTTTGATATCAGTATCAGTGAAATTTCAGGATAATGAAAATACCCATTTTTCAAAGAGATGAATAAAAGCATAAATAAAAGCATAAATAAAATTAGTACATGGATGTCACTGGAATACAGATCTGCTAGATGTCTCCAGCACTTTCCTACTTGGTGCTGGTATTCAGGTGGAGAAGAAATTTAGTGTGGGGGTTACAATCAGCTCTTTGGACAGAGATTTTTCTTTAGGTTACTATATTGCAAATAATTAGTCCTATGCAATAACAGTTTTAAACAGTACAGAATTAGAGGTATGCATTGCAATATGCTTTGTTATATGCTTCCAATACAGACAGGACCAAAAGATGTTATTGTGCCAAGGTACATTTTTCTGTTTTGAATGTATAAAATACCACTGAAAAAAAACAGGTTATAGACAGGAAGAATGGCACTGTATATATCTCCAAGAGATATTATCTGCTACTGCATGAAGAAACAAGCTTCAGAACCAGAAAGGCCCTCGCACAGTCCAATGACTGCAGGCACAGTCCTGAATTTCATGAATTTTATGAAAGTCTCCCAGGTTTACAGCCTCGTCTTGTAGGAGGTGAATGATCAACGTCAAATGCAATCAGTCTTGGCTGCCTGTGGCAAAAAATTGCAGTTTTTCAGCAGAGACGTTTACTTTTGAGGAAATTTTACATTCAGGCAACACTTTTAAGAACTTTTCCATGATGAAATTTTGCACTGCTCTAATCAGCGATATGGTTTGTCAATGGTATAAATAAATGGTGTAAGTAGTGGCAGTTTGCAATTTATACTTTGTTTCTGGAATAAAGTAGAATTCACTGAGTTTTCTAATTGAGAAGTTATGCCAGACATGCAGTATTGTCCCATTGCTATAAATGATGCTGTGCTATCCTTTCAGTAACAATATGCTGATCTGCCCCTAGGTTTCACAACAAGGGTGTTTATGTGAAGGTCGGGCTGCAGAAGATAAGTCATACCAGAAATCTTCACAAAGACATAAAGCTTCAGGTGGACCAGCACGAGGTGGAGTTGCCAAGTATAGAAGGACTCATTTTTATTAATATCCCCAGGTAAAGAGGAGAGGAGGGATGCTGTCTTGGTCCTACATAGATATGGAGGGATCCTACGTATCTCTATATATGAGTAGAAATACTACTTGATATTTGACCGTCACCCTTCTTGCTAAATGGCCATGAAGAAACATGACTGTTGTTGTATTTTTCATTGCTGCCCCTTCCACAACTAGCTCTGAAGCTGTGCCTAGAAAAGCCAAAACTCTGAAAGGTTTGGACATCATTGATGGAGCCACCTGATTGTGCCAGCGCAGCCCCCTGTGCATGCACATATACATGCACATATATATATATAGATATACATGCACATGAGAATCGTGGAGGAAGAAGATCATGATTAGCATTGAGCAATCAATGAGCTCAAAAAACAAAGTGATTTGAGGAAGCAAGGTTGATAAATCATAGCCAGCAATTTCTAGGAGCACTTGTGAGGCTAAAAGTGCACAAAAAGCTGCTAAACTATTAGTTTTGCATGGTGCAGAAATAAAATAAATCATACTTTACTTTTAGTTATTTTCCTTTAACTTTCTTTCAGTAGTTTCTATGAATATTGTCAAGGTCAGTAAAATCTGTATTTTTTAATCCTTTGAAGGTAAGGAAAGCTCTGTAGCATGTATTTCCCAGTAAACTAAAGCTCTTTGGAGTTTCATCTTTCATGTAGAAGTGGCTTCACTGCTCCTTTCCCTCCTGAAATACTGGAAGCCCTCCCCGTTTTTGTAGGTTTCCCCCTTTTTCAGTGAAAGCCATCCGGTCACAGCTGGGGGTCCAAAGCAGGGCAAAGCCATTGGAACCCCAGAAGGGGCTCTGGCACTGGGAGCTCCATGGATGCTCACCCAGTGTTTTCCATTCGGGAGCTCCGCGGATGCTCACCCGGTGTTTTCCGTCCGGGAACTCCGCATTGCTCACCTGGTGTTTTCCCCGTGCAGCTGGGGCTCCGGAGCCGATCTCTGGGGTTCGGAGAGCGACAACCGCTTTGAGAAGCCGCGGATCGACGACGGGCTGCTTGAGGTGGTCGGAGTCACCGGCGTTGTTCACATGGTGAGTGGTGCCCCAGGGAGTGTGGGAAACTCCTGTGCCACACCTGGGAGCAGAGGGAATCTGCGTGAGGATGTAGAAACCACTGCAAGTGTGAAGAACTATGATTTTTCTCAAAAAGAGAGATGTTAGTTACAGAAAGCAGTGAAAAGTTAAGGCTGGAGTAAATGCAATGCATTTGCTTATATCTTCTCTAATAAGGAGGATTTACAAAAAACAATAGTAATCAAATAGTCATAAGCAATAAAAGGAGGATTAGAACTTTATTTCTTTTGTATTTTCTTAGCCCTTTAAATATGTTGATGTATTTTTCCAGGATTATATGAGAGATGCTTTACTCTGTGTCTGTGTAGCTGTTAGTTATGTAACATGATGATAGCACTTAGTGTCTTTATCAAACGTGAATAAAATGGTTAAGTTGTGGGTGGGGACTATAAAACTAGCTTATTTCAAATGCATTAGTTTTATCATGGTGTCAAAGGTTTTATAACCTTTATCATGGTGTCAAAACCAGCTACAGGATGTAAAACATGGTTTTGTTTTAATCTTATGAGAACACCCACCCATCATTTAAGGGTTTTTGTAAATATAGTCCTATCTCCTCACAGTCAGACTGCCGTTTGTGGGCAGAGAGGCTCCTTTAAGACAAGTAGCTTTAATTCTTCCATATCTTATCCATGTGTTAAAATGGCCTGCTAGTATCAGTGCTGCCCTTTGGATTCTTTTTGTTTGTTTGTGTTTTTTGTATTTCTGTCACTATTTTAAGAAACCTTCTGAAAAAGTGGTCAGGTAGCTAGGGACTAAACATCCATACAACCACCAGAAATGGAAAGGTGGGTACCTAAGATTGTGCAGCTCAACCCTTTGGTGTCTGCCAGCTTCACAGCTTGGTACTTTATTTCTTTTAAGGAGTACAAATACAAAACATTCCATTAGAATTTTGCTAGAGTTTGCTAGAGATTCTTAGATCCACTGTGCAAGAATACAGATGTTAACAAACCTGAACTCTGGCTTTGTGATCTTGTGTTAAGGTTTTTACCTGCACATTCGGTGCCTCTACGTATTCCCCAAGAGGATTTATAGCAGGAAAATTACCCTTGCCTCACGTTTCACAGGTAACACTGAGCCACTAGCTGTAGGTGAATATGGAGGTGAATACAGCAGAATTCTCCCTCCATGTTCATATGCTAAAGTGCTTCTAGATTCTCAAGTTTTGCATAGACCAAAGTCCGTGTCAATAGTTAAGTAGTTTGAAAAACGTGTTTGCTGCTTTATGGAGAGAAGAGACTGAAAATGAAGATTTTGTGGGTAAAGCTCCTTTACCACCTTGAACGTACAGATGACAGCCCTGTGTAAGTCCTTTGCCTTGGACAGTGTTCTGGGGGTATATATGGGTATATCTTCATGCAGGCACTTAAGAGGATTAATGTTGTGTCAGTGTGTTTATGCCCTCCAGATTTTGCTTAAACAGTTCCCTCAGTTGAAACTTGAAATTTCTGCTGACGATGTGATTTTATCAACTCCCTCTACCAGCTCCAGTGCAGCTAAAGGTTTGCTTGATTATCTTAAGTTTTGGCGTGGTTGACGTGTTGGCTTCGACTTCCTGACAGGGCCAGGTCCAAGGAGGTCTCCGATCAGGAATCCGCATAGCCCAGGGCTCGTACTTCCGTGTAACACTCCTAAAGCCAATTCCAGTTCAAGTTGATGGAGAGCCCTGGATCCAGGCCCCAGGCCAGATCATTATTTCTGCTGCAGGACCAAAGGTACTGGCTGTAGCTCTGTCTCAGCGGTTGGGTTTGGTTTTCCGTGGATATCAGCATGGTTTTTCTTTTCCCTCTCCTTGTTGTGTTTGGATGACGGACCTTACCGAAGCTGGTCAGTAGAGGGGGATAACAACTGTGGATAACACACAGCAGCCTCTACAGAAACTGGTTCCAGGGCTCTCTCTGCTGGCTGCTTAGGAAAACAGCCTGAGCTTCACCCAAACGGGCTGATGCTCTGTCCTCTGTGCAGACGTCCAAGCAGTGTTGCTTGCACTAAAGCAGGTTGGAGTCGTGAGGCACAGAACTCCTGCTGACAGTACTGGGGAAAGGAGAGTCTGTGCCTGCCAAAATGGACACGATGAACAGCAGGGCTCTGAGAGAAAGAGACTTCAGAGTGAATAATGCTCCATTCTCCCTTTGCAAATCAAGGTGCTTTGGTTAGCTATGCATTAAAATTGTTTCTCTGCTGCAGGAGCTACATTTTACCCATTCACTAGTTGCCTTGGATCTCATTGTAGGTGACCTTAGCTGCTTTGGTCCTTGCTCACTTTCTTCAAAATTTGCCTGTTTTAGGTCCATATGCTGAAGAAATCCAAGCAGAAGCAGAAGAAAACTGGAAGCCTGAAGGAGATGAGAACAGATGTCGGCATGTCCGTCACTGAAGGAGGACGCTAATGGGAGATCCGTGGTCAGCAAACTACTGTAGATACCACAATAGTTCAGTGAAACGGAATGCAGACAACGGGGCTTCGGAGAAGGGTTGCTCATGAGCGTGCCTTTCATCACGTAATATCGTACTGGGTTCTGCTTGGTTATTCAAAGATAGTGCCTCATTGCTGCAAATACTTGTTAAGTACCACATGTTATCTGAAGTGTTTACTTTGGGTTGCTTTTCTCCAAACCATTCCCCAGTTTTTAGTTTATGGAAACTGAGGCCAAACATGGATTCCGAGATGTTGAGGTTTCTACATCTGTTTTTACAGAAACTCATCCTCTCTGGCCTGTTTTTTTTTTTTTTTTCCTCAAGAAAACCATTCCATAGGAATAGCATTCCATAAATGAAAATCTGTTCCTTTAAATTAATGTCTATGGTAACTTCCAAATGAAAAAAAAAGGCAGAGATGGACTGCTGAGTCGTCCTTGCATGACTCCAAATAACACAGCTGGAGCAGTGCTACCACAGAAGAGAAGAACATAAAACATAGGAGAAATGATTTCTATAAAAGGAGCCCCGTGCACTAGGGAGGGAGAATGTGCTGGACCAGTTGAGTCAAAATATTTAGGAGAGTTTGGTTTTAACAGTATTTGGACAAAATGAATGAAGGAAAAACAGCAAACAGCTTTTAAAACCAGTTACCAGCTACTGCTTAGCTTCTCCCACATGAAGTCAAATCCTGTTTTCAAAAGCATTTGAATTTCAGTGGTTGCCATGCTAAAGTAAAAAGGAACAAGAATTCCCTTAGGCAGTATTACATGATACTGATTATTTTCTGTCATTGAGAAGTTACCTTTGACATCAGACTTCTCTCCTTGTGTTTGTGTTATTTCACATTTACTCAGCTGTCACATGTCGGACTCTTATTTTAGAGCAACCTTCAAAGATTAAACGAACCATCATTAAATAGGATAAAAGAAGTACCTTTTAGTGTTTACTAAAGCCAATTAGGGCAGTGGCAGGTTAAAGCTGAGCTGAAATAGGGTGCTGCAGGCTTCAGATGACTGGGAATGTGGCAGTTTCTTTGAAAACTCACCCACCTGATGACCCTTTGTGGGTCCCTCGCAGCCGCTCTCCTTGCCAGCAGTTGCAGGGATGGGTGTTTGGTGGCTCCCATGGACATCTGCTCTTCAGAGGTTGTCCCTCTTCCAGCTCCTGTGGGATCAGACTACCTCTCCGTGCTCGCCTGCCTGCTGAAGACACGGGGATGCAGTTTTCTTCACTTCGCAATGTTTTCTTCAGTCATGCAGAGATGGCACGAGCTGCCCACGTTTCTCCTTGCTGTCCAGTGGTTCTTGTTGTTAACAAGGCCTTCCTGTTCTAGTAGAGATGCATTTGGAGGATAATTCCTTTGTTTTCAGTGAAGCTTCCTGTTAATCATTTAAAATGGACCACAACTTATTGCACATGTTAACTAGACTGATGCTATGAAGGCGATTGTGTTGATGACACACAGCTAAAACACTCATCTCTTAGTTATTAAAAATTGGGGATTGTCTCCGCCTCAGAGCGTGGGCAGGAAGGGACCTGGAGCTCACCCGGTGTCCTGGTACTGGCATTGCCACTAGGAAGGGACAAGTGTTGTCTTTTGGGGTCTCTCCCCTCAGGATGAAGCTCACAACTTAGGAACTCTTAAATAGATTGCTGCTTATAGCCCGGAAAGCCAAAGAAACTGCTTGGCCAACCTGGAAGACCAGCGGCATGGTCTTCCATCCAACTGAAGACTCGGTGATGGGGAGGCAAGGCTGACTTTTGTTTACAGAAAACATCCATGAACTTCAAGTTTGTTGGCACTGACCATCCCCTACAGCCTTTCACTCACCGCCGTGTTTTGCTTGAACAAAGTGGAACTCTTGGGTTGGGGGACACTGAACTGTGGTACATCTTCCCACAGGGATCCCACATTCCTGGGATGTTGCCGAAGCCTGTTGTAGGGCAGCCCTGCTCCTCTTCCCTGGCGGAGGCATGAATGTGCAAAGAGGAGCCTAGCAAATGGAAGGGAAAAGTCCTTTTTTCTTTGCAGAAAGGAGCTCCAACATATTAACTGAGCAGACTGCTCAGCGGGGTTGGGCTTTATCTCGAGTAGAAGTCACTTGCCATATTGTGTCTGCCCTAGATGATTTTTGGCATGTTGTCAAAGCAAAACATGTTTCTGGGCAGCTGGGATAGGAAAGCTCCCCTGGAACCTTTTAACAGGAAAAAAAAAAAGGAAATCTCTGTTGAGTAGTGTTTAGATCTTCCAGTTTCAGGTACTGTAAAAGACCAGTATGCCTGTTCTAAGTAGCTTTTCATCATATTAGTTATCTTAGAGGCCTAAAATATTCTTCTGTAATAACATAGGACTTGAAGAGAGGTGTTGACTCCTTGTATTTGACAGGAAACGTCTTCAGTTTGCATTTGCACTGAACAATGTGAGAGTAGCGAAAAAGCCATGGAGAAGGCTCAGTTGTGGCAAAGCTGGGCGCTGAGCAGCACCAGGGATATGGGATCAGAGACCACAGGCCTGGATGGTGGGAATGTGGGTGCACGGCCACCCAGAGGGCACTTCTTGGCCGTCTCTCTGCGGCGCTGTTTTCTCACCCCGTTCGTGGACCGCAGCGGCACTTCACAGAGCCATGTGTTAGTGCTCAACCTTCCCTCGTGTCCTTGGAGGCTTTGCCAGCACAGGCTGGAGACGGGTCCTGGGTACACGGCGCATATCCCAGTGCCACTGACAGGAAAGGCTGTGATCAGCTCCTGATATCTGCTCTGGTGATTGAGTGCATCATTCCCGTCCTCTGGGACAGCCTAAATTCCAAATACCACCCCGGAGATACAGATGTTCCCCCCAACACAACCTGCAGCCTTTGTTCAGCCAGCTTGAACTGCTGGTGCTCTTGTTGCATTGGTTTTTAAATGAAAGTATATGGAGCTCTTTTGCCAAAAATACTCTTATTTATACATGTGTGCGTGTGTATACATATATATGTGTGTGTGCACGTCATCTCTAACTTCTCTTTTTTCGCTGTGCAGTGGCATTTGGGCAGCACGCCCCTCTGGGTCTCTGTGTCACTGCTTCCAGGTAGGATGCTGGCAGTTTGCTTTCTTGCTGGTACCATTCTCCTGTTCTCTGCTCCTTGCGTTTCCAGTGTCCTAATGCCAGTGCTTTCCAGCCTGCCGTGGTGGTGAGTCAAAGCACAACTCTTTCAAACGCAGTGTCTGCTTGAGGACGTGCCGAGCTCGCATTGCGCAATGGGGATTGAGCTCACATTGCTCTTTGGGGATTTAAATCAAATCTTTGTGTGTTTAAAGTAGCATTTAACCTAACGCTTTCAATTTAGAAGCAGCCGTAGCATAGTTTGTTGCAAGATGTAAATAGGGAACGAAACCTAAGTAAGCTGTTGTAGACAATTCCTCGCTAATCTTCACGGTGACCCTCTTCAGACTGTTGTACAGGTTGCACTTCTTTAAAGAGGAGGAAATGTGCTGGTTTGGAGTGTTAGCTCCTGGAAGCGATGAGCGTTTCTGCGTGCCTGTTCCAGCACAGGAATATACCGTGGCTAAAGCGAAGCCTCGTTTGGTTTGAGCAGGAGGCGGGAGGAACCGGCGCAAGGTGGGGTTGGTGATGGGCTGAAACACCCGTCCTGGGCTTAAAACACTCACTGATTTCAGTTCCACGTCATCCCTTCACCAGCTGGGCTTCACGCTGCAGCCTTGGCTCCGTTTGGGGCCACGTCGCCTGTTTTTGCACTTAGCAGCAAACGCAGGTTAGATACAGTTGGAGTGTGGCAGCATTGCAGTGTTTGTACCTGTGAAAATAAGGGGATTATTCACTCTACAGATTGAATATGCACTTTCAGGCTATGACTAAGAAAAAAAATTAAGTCTGTAGGTGGAAATCAACTGTTGGAGACTTCAGGAGTTGCACAGACTGCAGTGTCCCTTCATCCCTGTCTCTAATACTGTGTTCTCGTTGAAAGCCCTGCTTGGGAAGGAGAGAAGATGGTATCTTCCCCACACTGCAATATGTATTTATTTCTGACTGACTGAAAGTTCTTATATATTTTTAAAAGTTACAAATTGGCTGCTATGTGAGGAATTGGGGTTACTATACTGATTTTATACATAAAAGTAATGTTAAAGTTTATTTATGATGTTAACATCTACTGATTTCACACTTCATTTGTATGAGAGGTCCATCCCAAAAACATTCGTTTCTTTTGCTGTGTATTTTGGGGAGACTATGAGTGTAGCCATTGTATTCATGGAATGCAGCAAATGGAATGCAACCTACCAAAACAGTTAGACCAGCAGTTTCAGTGTTTACAGGACAGTGACTATTGATTGTAAACCCATACAGGTCAGCTGAAACAATGCGGTCTTTTGTGTTTCGGAGGCATTGCTTCTGCTTCCTGTGACGGTCAATGAAACTGTTGCCTTCTGGTTTAGACTCCTTCCTGTGCCCCTGTGGAGAAATGGAGGCGTTGTGACCCTTCTGCCCTGGACTTAATGGGATTTGTACTCATGCAAGTGTTGTGCTGAACGTGCTTTCCTAAAGATTGACTTTATTTTTTTGTGCAGATAATTTATGAGAACATTTTTTAAGCAGTTTGGTGTTGTTGAAGCCGGTTGGAAGTGCTGAGATAACTCTGTGTAGATATTAATTAAAGATGTATTCCAAAGCAGAGTATTCCATTTTAGCGGGGTGCTCTTGCTGGTGTAGCTGTTCCCGATGGCTCCCAGTGTAGCAGCCTTCTGACATGTGGGGGAAAAGCGGGATTTGGGAAAAGGCTTCATTTTGCCACCCACACCTTTGCTCCGGGGGTGAACCGGACTGAGCGGGTCATTCCCTGCGCTTGGCTCACAGCAATAGTCGTGGCACTGCAGCTTGCCCCTCGTGCCAGGAGCAACTCATTCTGGGGATAGTTCACACAGAAATGGTGCAGGGAAGTGGGTCCTGATTCACAGGCACAGAGAGAAGAGCACAGGTGCCTGTCGCTCGCCAGGCCCCGGTCCCTCCTGCCTGAGAACCACCCACGACGTGTTTACTCGCCTCAAACCGTGGCTTAACTCCTGCTTAAATAACTGTGTTCAGTGTCTTTCACCTCTTGTTATTTAAAGCAGCCAGCCTTGAGCATTGGTTCTCTAGATAATTGCTGCTTTAATTTAAGGATGTTCTTAAAGTGTCTTACTTGTGAATGTTCTAATAGGTTGGTAGTAAATCAGCTTGCCTAAAAAAGCAAAGCTAAGACAACCACCGAACAGTTTAGTTACTGACTAGTGCTTATTCTTTGTGCAGCTGCTTAATAATTCTCCCCCAAAAGCATATATAAGCATAGAAGTGGTTGGAAGCTATTTCCACATTGTGTGCCTCAAACTAATAATGTATCACACATTTAGTTGTGAACTGGTCCCAAAAACAGGGTTTTTATGGTGTAACTTGTTTCTCAACGTCTGCCTTGCAAATCACTATGCTCTGCTAACTCGTCTACCAATAACATGCCTAATGTACTAACTGGTTAAAAAAAAAAGTAATTTATAAAAGATGGACTTTTCTCTGATATTTAAGCATCTGTATGTCATCGGATTATGTTCTTAGAATAATTCTGTATATATTTTGCAATGTGTGTTTAATTTGACTGTACATTTTGCACTGATTTTAAATTCTGTATCCAGTTATAATTTGCAGTTACCAGAGATCTATAAGTAGAATTTATGTCTGTGGAAAACCAAAATACAGTATCTGTTCCACCCTGGATCTGTTCCACCCTGGTTGTGTTCCACCCTGGGGGGCTGAGGAGGAGGATGGCTGGGCAGGGAGGAAGGCCATGGTGCCATCACATAGTGATAGCAGGAGCTGCTGGACACACAGAGCAGGAGAGCAATGAGGTGCCTCCCCTGCCGACCTGCAAAGGGAGGACACAGAACAAGAGTTTCATTATGGCAGGAGCAGCCGGAACATCAATTCACAGCAGGAGGCTGGTGGCTCATTATCCCCTGCCCTCCTCTCACTCAAGATGTCACTGCACAGGGCAGCGTGGGCTCCGGGCATTAATTATGCTGGCATTAATTATCCGCTCTTCAAAGAAGTTTCACTAGGCTTTGTTAACAGTCCCACAATTAGGGAATCAGCAGGGAAAAAACACTATATAATATGTAGCCTTTGGTACCTGACCTTGGGTACATGCAGCTTCTCTTAATCAGGAGCAGAATAGTGTGGGACAGGGACGGACAAGGGCTGCGTGTGAAGAGGGTGGAGAGGCAAGAGCAGGGTGCGGAACCCCCCTGCTCTCCAGCTGCATCCCGAGGCTCTCCCGGGGCTCGGAAAGGGGTTGGGCGGATGGCAGGGATCCCTGCTGACTCCTCGCATGGCGGCTGCAGCAGTTTGGAGCACGTGAGTGTGACATGGGCGCCGAGGCACGAGTTATGCAGCCTTGGTCAAAGTGCAGCCTGCGTAGCGCCCGCCGGCTGCTCCGTGTCGTCACACTGCGCGCACGCCTCCAAAGAGCTGTCACAAAGAAGCCTGGCAGCGTCCCGCTCGGCAGAGCACATCCTCCTTGTGTCCTTATTGCCTTGGAGGCCCCAGCGCGGGCCTCCGGGTCGGAACTGCCACCACCACGCTCGCCTGCTGCTGCCTGGAGGAGCCCAGCACCTCCAGCCACGGCTTCCTCCTCTGCCAGCGGCTTCTCTGTGACCCACCGCCCTCAGGAACAGGGTATTTCTTAATGGAACAAGCCTGTATCTGCAGGACCACCTACCATTGTGGTCCATTCGGTTCCGAGTACCCAAAGACGCCAGCCCTCGCGCTCACCCCTCCACCTTGCCTTGTTTGCGCAGCCTTGGCTTCCCCCTAAGCAGATTTTCCACTGACTTCTCATGGGAGTAACACGGTGATCGCAGGGCAAAAGTGAAGCGTAGGGAGTGCTGTCCTGGCAGCTTGATGCTGGCACTGCCATGATCCAACCGGGATTCGCTGTAAGGAAGGATCAGGGTAACTGCACTTCACCTTGCCTGGTCAAGGCTTCTCCTTCACAGTGTGTTTTGCCAACACTCTAGATCAGCTGCGGGAAAAAAAAAAATGATGGAGCCAAAGTCAGCAATAACAGATGATAAAACACAAGAGCAATAGCAAAGCTTTGCAGTGCGGGAGGCTCAGGATGGACATCAGGGGAAAAAATCTTACCCAGGGAAGTGCAGCAGACCTGGGACTGGAGGGCGCCTGAATTTCCAACCCTCAGCTTTTTGTTTTTCTGTTTTAACATGAGGAAAAAAGAATTACTGTGGAGGATGGCTGAGTGGTAGAACAATTACCCACAGAGGTGGTGGTGCCTCCTTCCCTTGACATGCTCTGGAGGTGCTGCTCTGCAGCGTGCTCTAAGTGACCCGGTGCTTCTGCAGGGGTGCTGGGCAAAGCTCCTCTCCATGCTCCAACGTGTGGAGTGACTTTGTGGCTTGCAAGGCCCAGCTGAAAAAAAAAAAAAGCAAAGATCAGATAAATCTGTTAGATGAGAGACTTGGCACTAACTCTTAGCATGCTATGACAGAGTGGTAACATTTCAACCGTCCCAAATTTTTTCCATCCTGTCTGTTTTAATGGAGAAGAACAAATATTCTTGCTGAATCACTGGATAAACGATTAAAATTTAAGAAAAAGGAGCACTAACTGGGCTCCTAGGCTCTAAATACTACTCCATTTGCTTACAACATGTATACTGATATAAAATAATGAAATGAAATGAAATGCAATGCATTTCACATACGTGAGCTGTCCCTCTTCATGAGACCAGCACGGACACCGCTGCGAACTAGGTGCTCCATAAACCCAAATGCTCTTCTGCTAGGAAGCCGCCCATGCGGATGGCACCCCCGGGGCTCTCAGCTCTGAAGTGTCACAGTGCCACCAGCTGAAGAGCTGCCCTCCTCCCATCCCACTCAGGACACTGCTCTCCTCTTGCCATGAGCCACCCCCAGCTCCCAATCCCCAGCTGGGCAGCTTTGCACCTCTACATCATACTTGCATCATTATGTTCCAGCTTCCTTTTGATATAAATGAGCATAATGCAGGTTTTTTGGTGCTCTCTCAGTGTGTGTGAGTGGTATCATGAGCTCTGGCCACAAATCTCAAACTCTGTGTGTGTTAAAACTGCCCAGAGTGTCATTTAAATTAGCCTTGTAGAGGGGGCCGCTCTCCTTCTGCCAGTTCCAATATCTGCCAAGTGTCTGCCAAGTTTTATTAATGCTGGCATGAAAAGGAAGGAGCGTCGCTAAAGCAGCAGGGCACAGAAATGTGGTTCCTCATCCCGACTGCTGTCTGCGCTGACCAAAGCACCCTCTGTGTCCCGGGAAGGCCACGGGCATCCCCACAGCCCCCTCACTGCATTCGCTTTGGGGCTGGAGCCGGCTGCCCTCAGCTGCACGCTCTGCCAGCGTCCTCTAGTCCTATCCCTGCCCACCACTGAAAAGAGGCCGCCCCCCTCCTCCTCACTGCCTCCCTTGAGGTATTTATACACGCTGATCAGGTCCCTGCGCTGGACTCTCTCCAGCAGCTCCACATCCCTCTTGTCCTGGGGAGCCCAGAACTGGACGCAGTACTCCAGATGTGGCCTCACCAGGGCTGAGTAGAGGGGGATGATCACTTCCCTCGACCTGCTGGAGACGCTTTTCTTAATGCACCCCAGGATCCCGTTGGCCTCTTGGCCACCAGGGCACACTGCTGCCTCATGGTCAACTTGTCATCCACCATGACACCCAGGTCCCTCTCTGCGGGGCTGCTCTCCAGCAGGTCCACCCCTAATCTGTACTGGTGTCCAGGGTTATTCCTCCCCAAGGGCAGGACCCTGCACTTGCCCTTGTTGAACCTCATGAGGTTTCTCGCCGCCCAGTCCTCCAGTCTGTCCAGGTCCCTCTGGATGGCAGCACAGCCCTCAGGGCTATCAGCTACTCCACCCAGTTTGGTATCGTCGGCAAACTTGCTGAGGGAGCACTCCAGCCCTTCATCCAGGTCGTTAATGAATAAGTTGAACAGGACCGGACCGAGAACTGACCCCTGGGGGACACCACTAAGTACAGGCCTCCAGCTGGACTCCGCACCATTGACAACCACTCTCTGCACCCTGCCATCGAGCCAATTCCTAATCCACCTCCCCGTCCACTCATCTATCACACACCTTCGGAGCTTGCACAGGAGGATGCTGTGAGGGACAGTGTCAAAAGCCTTGCTCAAATCCAGATAGACCACATCTACCGCTCTGCCCTCATCTATCCAGCTAGATATTCCTTCGTAGAAGGTGATCAGGTTAGTCAAGCAGGATTTCCCCTTGGTGAATCCATGCTGGCTACTCCTGAGCACCTTCTTCTCCTCCATGTGTCTGGAGAGAGCAGCCAGGATGAGCTGCTCCATCACTTTYCCGGGGATGGAGGTGAGGCTCACCGGCCTGTAGTTACTCGGGTCCTCCTTCTTGCCTTTTTTGAAGACTGGAGTGATGTTGGCTWTCTTCCAGTCCTCCGGCACCTCCCCCGTTCTCCAGGACCTTCCAAAGATGATGGCGAGTGGCTCGGCTAGGACATCTGCCAGTTCCCACAACACTCTGGGGTGCATCCCATCAGGGCCCATGGATTTGTGGGTGTCGATGGTGATCCCATCCCCTCAGTGCTGCTCCCGCTCTCCCAGCCTCGGATGCACAACAGCTGCTCATGGTGCCAGTGCTGGCCAGCAGCACCAAAGGCTCTCGCCCTTTCCGTGCCCGCCCGTGAGTGCCACAACAAGAGGCTCCGCCGCAGGATTAGGCTGCCCCTCGCTCGGGACCGCAGCCTGAGCCCGGGATTAGCGACACAATCGTGGCCGGGGAGGCCACACAAAGAGAAGCGACGGGACAGCAGCAGCCACCTGAGCCGGGCGGATTAGGGCTGCACAGAGCAGAGCCGCGGGCCCTGCTGGCCCAGCACAACGGCCCAGGGCACCGTTGGCACCCGGCGCGCTCCAAGGCTCCAAATGCAGCTCCAGGGTGCCCGAGGCTGCTCTGGGGCTCCTAGTGCTGCTCCTGGGTGCCCGGGGCTGCTCCAGGCCCTCTGCACTTCCCATGGAGCAGGTCCAGGGACTGGCAGCCGCTCCTGCTGGACCTTATCAGCCTGGCTGCTTGCGCTGCCCTCTGGCCCTGGGTGAGGAGGAGCCTTTGGAAACCTTTGGAAAGCCTTTGGAAATGGCACCCTCCTTGTCCCGTGTGCACGCAGTGGTTTGACACACGTGTTAATGTGGCGAGGAACCTTGCAGGCTGTGAGTGCATGGCTGCCCTGCAGCCTCCTCACTCCCTGGCAGGCCTAGCCAAGCCGGGCCTTGCTAAGCAGCGCCCGCCATGGCCACAAGCAGCTTCCAGAACAGCCCTGCAGCTGCCCTGGCCTCCCCTCAGCCGCCCACCCAGTGACAGGGCTGGGGTTATTCCATGGCCTACATCCCGGCTCGCATTTCCTCAGGACGCTCTGGCGGCGCCGGGAACGGGCAGCGTGTGGGGATCCCGTCCCAGGCACACGCGCGTCGCACAGGCAGGAATGTGCCGTGGGGATAAGCGGGGGCTGCGTGTCCGTGAGGATCAGCGGGGATTAACGTAGAGGCTGCCCATGGCGCTTGAAGAGCCGCCCCGGCGCCACAGGAACCCGAGGTGCCTTCGCTCCGTCAGCTAAGCCTAACAACAGGCTGTGCCTTGCTACACCAGCAAGCAGTACAAAAAACAAGTGGCCGGGGGGTCTAAGGAGGATTTCCTTCATGGTGCCCATGGCAAAGCCTGCAGGTGGATCCCTGCAGGGCTGGTTTCCTCAGGCTGAGGCTGGAAAAAACTGAGTTTCTTTTTCTGTTTAGCTCCTCCTTTTCTGGGTGGCAAAGCACACGCAATTCAAGGCTTTTACGGGAAAGGGGAAAGAAGAGTTATCAAATGGTGGTTTCAAGGTATTTTTCAATGCCTGGGCTTGCCACAGTTAAGCAAATCCATTTCCAATCCGTGTTTTGTGGAAGGGGGCTGTGATTCAGTGTCATCTCTCAAGTTGGGCAACCACTTAATGTAGAAGTGCTCCGTTGCAGCACGGTTGGGATGTCACTGAGATGCTGGTCTCATGTCTGGAGCCCACTGGAATGAGCCTCACCCCACGGGAACTGAATTCCCAAGGGGAATTACAGCTGGCGCTGCATGGCTATGGCCGCACCCCACCCGCACCCAAAATGGCTCCCGCCTCACAACGAGGCGCTGAATCCACCCGCGCCAACGGCCGCGGGTGGGGGGGGCACTCCGCGCATGCGCGCTGTGCGGGCGGGCGGGGCGGCGGCCGTTGGGCGGGCGCGAGGCCGTTGGGCGGCGCGGGGGGAGGGGGCACTTGCCGCGGCGCCGGCCCCGCGCTCGGGCAGCGGCGGGAGCGGGAGCGGGGAAGGGGAAGGGGAAGAAGGGGAAGGGTGAGCGCGGCCGAGCCCGCCGCGAGGCTGGCGGCGCCCGGGGCGGCGGCGGGAGCCCGTGGCGAGCAGCAGCCGCCGCGCCGCGGCCGCCCCTGCGAGGCTTCCCCAGGAGAGCGCGCGCCCGGAGGTTGGTGCCTGCGGTCTGTTACTGTGCGGGGTGTTGCTCTGGAAAAAGGCGGAAAATATATATATATACACGTATATACCTGTGTGTATATTATATATATATATATATATATATATATATATATATATTTTTTTTTTTTTTTTTTTCTCGTGGTTGTTGCCCATCCTGGGAATTGACATCCCCCCCTTCGGCTCTTGTCGCTGGGTGAAAACCTCATTCCGGCTGTTACCTTTGTACCTGCCGCCTTCTTTGAGGAACTGGGCTGTCCTGCAGCTGCTCCTTGCACCGTAGCTCAGCCTGTTGCACCTGGGGATAAGGTTAGGGTGTATAGTGCGGTCGTGCTGTCCCAACCCGCTCTGTATTGGTGCTTTCTCTAATCCACCCCTCACTTTTCTTCTTTCTTTTTCCTCACTGAAGTTTCTGTTTCTCATTCAGCTGATCAGTCTGACTTCCCACTGTGAATTGTCTTCCTTGTCGCTCTCCCAGCCCGCCTCCAAGTGGTGTCATATTAATTTATCCTACGTGAGTGGTATCATCCTAAGTCCTGTTAAGCTATTTCAGCTAAGTGGCCTTGCAAGACTCTTAAGAGTATTAATGGAGCCAAATTCTTAAATAAGAATTTTAATTAAGAATTTGGGCTCGTTACTTAAACAAGAAAATAGAGAAAAAGGCTCCCATGGTTCCTTTTGTGAAATTGCTCCAGAGTGCGCTCTTTTTGGGGCATACCTGCAAACCGGACTGTGTTACGGTGTACCCACCAACTCCTCTGGTCATTAGCTCTGCTGTGGAGCTGGGGTTGGCCTTGCTGCACGTGCCAGCTGGGCGGAGCGGCCGCCGGGCGCTACCGTAAGTGAAACTTGGAGCTGCAGGAGCAGGAAGCACCAGGAGCAGGAAGCACCGGGAGTGCCACGAGGAGGAGGATGGAGGCACCTCTTGCACCCCATGGTGCAGCCCCTGGGAGGTGCAAAGGGCTGCCACTTGCTTGGCATGGGCAGGGGACTTGGGCAGCAGGTGCTATGGGTCCCTATGTGTGTGTAAAAATGCCTCTCCCTCTTGTTTTGGGATGCAGGGGACAGCCGTGAAGATGCTGGAGGCCGACCTTGTTGCGAAAATGCTGCGTGCTGTTCTTCACTCCCATAAAAACGGCATTCCCCTGGCGCAGCTGCAGAATGAGTACAAGTCCCTGACTGGCGACTGCATCCCCTTCGAGCACCTGGGCTATGGCACGCTGGAGAAGTACTTGCAGAGCATCCCAGGAGTGGTCCGGCTGGAGGAGAGCAGAGCGGGAGAGGTGAGGAGGTGCGAGCCCGCGGCAGGGGTGGCCCGCTCCCCACCAAGGCGTTTCTGCAGCGTGCTGGCCTTGTCACCTCGCTGTGGCTGTTGGCGACCCAGAGCAAGGTGGGGAGAGGGAGGGTAGCCCCAGCCCTTGCTGCTTGCCTGCCCTCGGAGTGGAGCGTGGCCTGTGGCTTCCAGGGCTGCCGTGGTGCAGCATCCCAGGCGCTGCCTTGTGCAACAGGTAAGCAGGCTTGTGAGCGAGGGTGTTGCTTGCTGTGAGCTGCTATGGGCTGAGACACATCCATGGTGCCGGGGTAGGTGGCTCTGGCCAAACTGAGTCTGGTGCAGTGGAGTGTGTCCTACTGGTGCTCTGTCATGCAGCCCTTGGTGTCTCAGTTAAGCCTTGGGGGTCTAAGGGGAAGGGAGTCTTACCTTCTCCTCTCGTGCTGTGTGAGCCCTGCGGGTGCCGTGGGCTCTCAGAGCTGAGCGGAGTGCAGAGGGAAGCCATGTCCCCATGCTAGAGGCAGCACAGGGAGCAAGAAAGGGGCTTGCAGGGCATGGGGCGCTCCCGTTGGAGGAGGACATGCCAGCGAGGCACAAGGAGGGCAGCTCCTGTGGTGCTTGTGGGACGGCTGTGCAGCCAGCGCATCCATAGCATGCAGTGCTGGTGCTGCGTGCGTGCAGCTTGGGCTCCAGGCATGTGGGAAAAGAGGCTGGCGTGGGGCTGTGGAGCGTGACTCTGCTTGGGACCGAGGCGATGAGCAGAGTGTGTGTGGCTGCAGCGCTGCCGGAGATGGCAGCAGGCTGTTCTGGAAGGACACGCAGGAGAGTGGCCCTCTGTGTGAGAGAGCAAGGCGACTGCATGGAACTGGAGCTGGAGACGGACCTTGAAGCCATGGAGAGGTTATGGGTGAGGTTTTTGAACAAGCTGCATATTGCTTTTGTAGAGAGGAATAATAGGATCTGGGTGAGAATTGTGAGTAAGCTGGATGATGCTTTTGTGATAAGGAATAAAAGGATCTGAGGCCTCTTTGAGGACCACAGGAAGTGTCCTGTTAGCAGGCCCTTGTCACAGGGAGCTTAAGCCGCCCAGGTGTTTGCTGAATGTTCAAGAAAGCAGTAGAAAACAATGCAGGAAGTTTGAGTGCATGGATGATGATCTGTGGCTTTAGGTGCTTGAATTTCTGACAAGGAGGGGTGCTGTGCTGGACATGATACCCCTCTAGGTGGAAGTGAGAACAAGTGAGCAGGGAACTGTAGAGCAACTGTTTGAACATGGAGAGATGGAGTTAGGAAAGACAACATGCACATGAAGCTAAATCTGGGATGTAAGGTGCAACAAGAAAAGCTGCTGCTGGTGTATTGGCTAGCAAAGGAAACGTAGGAAAAGTATGGGATCACTGATGAATGGGAAAGGCAGCCTAGTCATAAGCGACATGGAGAAGCTAAAGGTGTGGATGTCTTTCTCTGTTTCTTAGAAAGGTTTGCCTTCAGCAATCCCAGGTCCCTGAAGTATTGGCGAGGCTGGTGGACTCGCAAGATCACCTTCCTTTATATTTGGAAGGACACTGTGATCAGAGATGTTGCCAGCAACTGGAGGGAAGCAAATGCCACTGCTGTCTTCAGGAGGGGCAAGAAAGAGGTAACCACAGGCTGGTCAGCATCACCTTGATCCCTGAGCAAATCCCCCTGGATATAATTTTCCAAACAGTTGAGGGATGTAAGTTGACTGAGCATAGTGAACCTGGCTTTATGAAAGGGAAATCATGTGTGAACAACTGGATAGGCTTCTGCAGTTTGCTGACTAGCTGAGGAGAGAGCTGCGGATGTTGTCTCTCTCAACTTCAGTAAGGCTTTGGACACTGTCTCTCATAAGCTCCTCACTGATGAAACTGAGACTACATGAGTGGAGAAGGAAGTGGTCGGAAAGCTCTTTGATTTGCTGGACTACAAGTGTAGTGAGCAGTGACCCAAAGTCCAGGTGGAGGCTAGTGATGAGCCCCCCTCCAGAGTGAGTGCAGCTTGCAGTACTGTTGAATGACCTTTGGCATGAGACAGAGTGGCTGCTCAGCAAGTTTGCAGCTGATATAAACCCAGAGTAATTTGTGCACGCAGTGATTATGCTGCCATTCAGAAGGGTATTGACAGGCTGGCAAAGTGGACTGAGAACATTCTCACCGAGTTCTCTAGAGAGAAATAACCAGTGTTGCTTCCTGGGGAGAAATATTCCCCTGCATCAGCAGAGCCTGGGGTCTAGCCTGCTGCAGAGCAGCTGACAGAATCCTGATGGGCAACGTGTTGATGAGGCATAAGTAAAGCCCTTGCAGTGAAGCCTGCTGACAGCACCCTGGGATTAGGAGAGCACAGGAAGGAGGTGAAGGGAGGTAATAATGCTCATCCCCTACTCGATACTGGTGAGACCACGTATGGAGTGCTGTGTTTAGTGCTGGGCTGACCCATGCAGAAGGTTATGGACTCAGTAGTTGAGCAAGTGTGCAGAAGGGCCATGAAAATGAGGAAGAGATTGCAGCACCTGCTATCAGAAAAAAAAAATGCTGAGAGAGCTGAAGTTTTTCGTGCTGGAGAAGAGGAGGTTCTGTGGGGGGATCTCATGGTTCTTTGGAGAGTGAGAAAGATTGAGTCAGCCTCTTCTCTGTGATTCCCCAAGACGGGACAAGAGGCAATGGGTACAAACCAAGCTACAGGAGGCCACATCTGAAGAGAGGAAGCTATCTTTCTGGTGAGGGTGGTCGAACACTGACCAAGTTTGCCAGAGGAATTCTGGAGTCTGCAGCCATGGAGGAGGTCAAAATCACTGGGCCACACCCTGAACAATCCGCTGTGGTTGGCCCTGTGTTTAGCAGAAGAGTTAGACTAGGTGATGCACAGAGGTTGCTTCCAGTGTCAGCTCTGGTGTGGCTTTTTGCATATAAGCCCTGGGCTAGTGAGGCTATGCACATAGAGGTTGCCAGTGGGTACGTTTTGTGTGCTAGTGGTGACTGTGCAACTGGTTTGTTGTCTGACTGCTAAGCAGGAACTCCTCAGATGGCAGATGAGAAGAGCCTTTCTTCTGAAGAATCTGCCAACATCTGCAGGTGCTGGGAGTGTGAGTTGAGCCAGGCAGTTGAAGATGCTGAGGCTGAGAGGAAGGTTGAGCAGAAGTGTCCTGTGGCAAGTCAAGAGTGTTGTCTTGTTCCAGGTTGTGCCATGCCGTGCCTGTAATTCTGTAGACCTTCTGGGTCAGGCTGAGAGGCCAAGCAGAGCTTTTGAGGTTTTGAGTAAGCAGTTGCTGCTGAGCAATGACTTGTGTTTTGGGTTTTTTGTTTTTTTTTTTCTTCTTCTTCTTCTGTCCTCCTATTTTTAGAAAAGCTGTCATTTCTTGAACATCTCTGCTAAATTTCAGAGGTGTCAACAAAGGCCTTCAGGAGGTCCTCTCCTGTTTTTGTGTTATAATCTCAGTGCTTGAGCTTGTTGTGAGTCTGGTGTTGCGTGCAAGGGTCTTCCCCATGCTTAAGCTTGGACATCAGCAAATGTTTGACTTTGTCTCTTTGGTACCCTGAGCAGATCACTTGCCATGCTGTTGCTTGCACCGAGACAGTGCGGATTGCTCAGCTGGTAGCCCGGCAGAGAAGTTCCAAAAGGAAAGTGGGACGACAAGTCAACTGCCAGATGAGGCTGAAGAACACAACTCCTGTCACGTTAGTAGGTAAGATGTGGCAAGCTTTGGAAGGGCTGCCCACATCAGATGGATGTGTAGTTGCTGTGGCAAAAAGTCTTTGCTTGGAGCAAGTGGTGCTGGTCACTACACGTTGTTGGACCTTCTGAAGAGTCATTGTGGCAGTGTTGCTGTTAAGATTAGGTGTACTTAGAGGCTAGCTAAGATGTGTGAGGAAGCCCTATTCAGAGGTGTACCTGAGCTGTAAATGAGGAATATTCTTGAATGAATATTCTTGAATATTCTTGAATGACAACTGGCTTCACTTGTGCCTTTGCTTTAATGGTGGGAGTACATTCAAGATTTCGATGAGCTGTATAGGTGTGTGTCTGCAGGTTTTTAGAGGGGGAACAGGAAGGACAAGGCAAGATTTGATCTCCCTGTCTTCAGTGTTCACATTGTTTTAGCAACTTTCACTGCTGTTGGGCATTACTAGTGCCTGCTGTCTGCAGCTCTGAACCTTTTCACGGCCATGGCAGTGTTCTTCCAGAGCCTCTGCGGGTGTCTTCCTTATGTTCCTATGCTTTTGTTGTGGTGGTGGTGGTGGCCAGGCCTCGTACCAGCCAAGCCCGAAACTGGTGTTTTGTCAGAGGAACCAAATAGCACTGATGTGACAACTGTGTCACGTGCCCATGGGGCATTTCACAGGTGCTAGTTTCAACTGGAGTGCATAACATAGCCTAGTGCACAGCATAGCTCGGAGGAGTCCTTCAGTATTTGAAGGATACTGCCGAATAATAGGTGTGTACAGAATAGGCAGTAGACTAGGCTGAATAGAACAGACTGCCCATGATTAGCATGGTCTCAGCAGTGCTGCTAGTCTCCCAACGAGGGATGGGAAGCAGGTGCCAGGGAAGGTATGTAGCACTTGGGAAAAGATGTGTTGAAGGTCATCATTATCAGTGGCTGTGTGCTATGCAGGAGATGGATGCTCTCCTGGTCAGCTGTGGCTGTTGGTGAGTTTTTCTGCTTCTGTTTTATCTGTCCCTCTTTTTCTTCTTACTTTTCCACAGACCAGTTTTCACAGTTAGTTGCTGTATGCCATCAGGTACGGACCCCCTAATAAATCTTTGTGCCTCTGTGACTCTGCCTCCGGCTTCCTTCTGCCCCACTGCCTTTCCATGCCTGCTCCAGCCCTAGCAGCACTGGAATATGGGAGCAGCCTGGCAGAAGGCAAGTAGGCAATTCCTGGCTGGAGCTGCATGTCCTGGGGAGGCTGGTGACGCTCCTGCCATGACCTCCTTCCCTCTTTGTTCCCGAGTGTCCCTGGGAAAATGGGGTGGCTGCCAAGGTGGCTTTTGGGAAAGGGAAGAGAAGCTGCAGCCAGTTTTGTTGTTACCCTGAAAGCAGTAGCTCTGGCAATGCAAAGAGTGTCCCTAGACAACCCACCGCTGTCTGCTTTAACTGAAGACCTTATGGCTGCTGCTGCCACCTTTTATACGGCTTGGGGCACATGTATGTCATTGATTTGCTTCTGTTTTTGAGCAAGTCCTGGCAAGCCAGGATTTGGAGGTACCTGCTGCGTGTTGGGGCTGGGAGAGGGGGTCTTCTGTGCCATCTGAGGGGCGATAGGCTCTATGCATGGTAGGGAAAGCCAGAAATTCTGAGGCATTTCGAGTTTCTCTAGAGGAGCGTCTCAGCATGATGGAGAGGGGTAATGGAAACGAGTTGAAACACAAGAAGTGCTATTTGCATGTGAGGAAGAACTTCTTTACTGTGAGGGTGATAGAACCCTGCCACAGGCTGCCCAGGAGGGTTGTGGACTCTCCTCTGGAGATGTTCCAAACCCACCTGGATACGACCCTGTGCCCCATGCTCTGGGTGTCCCTGCTGGAGCAGGGGGTTGCACTAGATGATCTCTAGAGACCCCTTCCAACCATTCTGTGATTCTGTGATCTTCCTGACTGGGGACCTTTGGAGTCTGCTGGTTGCAGAGGTTCTGCTTCTGCAATAGAACTGTTTGTATTTGCTGTTGCTCAAACCCTCCTGAGCAACACTGGCCTTTTCACCAGCTTAAAGATGGACCCTGTCCTCTTTTGGATGTCTAAAATGACCTATAGGGCTATGTCGTGCATGGTGGGATACCTCTCTTGCAGGAAGGACAGTTCCAGATTTCCACTCCTGCTGATTTGGCCCATCCCAGGGAAAGCTCAGCCATTTTCCCCACTGGTCACTGTTCAGAGCTACCGTGTTGCCTGAGGTCTGTGCTGATCAAACTTACAGTCCCATGTATCAGTCAGCAATTCAGCAGCTTCTTTGTGAAGGGCTGAGCTGTCTTATCATGAAGGGAAGTGACTGCCTTTCCCAGGCAAGCACTGCTGCTTGTGAATCTGAAATAGCAGTGTACTGTGCAGTAGGTAGTGAGTGTCTCTGCTGCTCAGAGGAATTTATCCAGCCCCCTTGTTTAGCACTGGACTGGCATATCAACTTGAACTTCAGGAGCCCTTGTTCTGTACACATTCCACTACAACCTCTCTGTGTCTCTGATATTTTCTGTCCTGAGCCTTTTGATTTTTCTTGCTCTCCAGTGACATACCAGCAGTGTGCTGTTTGTTTGGGAACCTGAATTGATGACTCATATGCTAGTTTAATGAAAATGATTGTAAACCCGTTGTTCACCATATTGCACAAAAGTTGGTCTGGTACAACAAGCAGGTAAATGGCACATAAAGGACAGTGTGGTCTGCCCCTCTGCCAGTGTTACTTGATGACTCCAGTTGTGTGGTGGAAATTTGGGAAGGACAGTTGTCCAGGAGTTGCCTCAGGAGGGTGGAGTTGAATCTTCAATCATCCTAAGAGACCTGCTGGTATTGTGTTGTCAGTGGTGGTAAAGTGCAGTGCAGAAGGTGAGTTTTAACCAGGACTTGGCTTTGGTATCTCACAGACTGCATGATTTATCACAGCTGTAACAAGACACACATCTTGTATTTCTTGCTCTGGTGCTATATGGAGATAGGAACTGTGGTTTTGCTGGTGTTTGGGTGTTGTGACATCAGGCTGTTGTGAAGACATTAAAACTTGTGTCTGAAAATGTCCTCCCTAAATCTGTTTACCAAAGTATGGATACCTAGAGGGAGCTGTGTGCTGTGCTAGAAGAGTTTGGGTTGGGTGGAGGAACCTTTTGTGCCAAGACAATGGGACAGCATTACTCACAGCTCCATCTGCAAACTCTTTAGGAAAGCCAAAAGGAACTTTGCGACAACCCAGGTTTATGAGCAGCCCAGAAGAATGCAGCAAGAGGCCTGTCCCTCGCCTGCAAAGAGTCAGAGGCATGGCCTGCGGAGTGGTGAAACCCACTGCAGAGTGTGTCCTGCCTGCCTTGTCCCCGGCTGCTGGAAGTGGAGCACCTAAGGAGATTCCCATGCAGAGGCATGTCACTGTGATAAACAGGTCAGTGCATGTGTGTGTGCGAGACACCGACTGGAGCGTGGAGAGGTGGGATTGTGGTAGGGCTCTGGAAGCGGGTAGGTGAACATTGGAGCCGTTCAATGCTCCTTCTGCCCTCTTCTGTGCATGTGCTGCTTTGGGGCTGAGGAGCAGGAAGGGCTTGGAGCTCTGCTGCTATTGGCTGATCACAAAAACATCCTGCGCAGGAGGAGCTCAAGCTGCCTGGAGGCCTTGCTGCTGCCCTTGAGCTGGGCAGGATGGGTGGAAGAGTGTGTGGGAGCAGTGCCTTGCTGGGCTGGATGGCCCTCCTTTAGCAAGAGCGAGTCCCTGTGCTTACCGGCTTTGTGTGCTGCTAACGCTTGTCATATCAGCAGTGTGCCTGGGGACGTGTGGGTGCAGAGGGTCACTCTTTGCAAAATCAATCTGCACATGGTACGGGGAGCAAGAGGGCCAACCTTGTCCTCCTTGGGTGCTGCCAGAGCCTTCCCCATGTTCCTGGCCTGCTGACCTCATCCAAACGAGTGCTCTGCCCAATGTGTTGGGCAGGGAGCCTGGTGTCACAAGTGTGGCACCAGGCACCCGGAGCGCGCCGGGTGCCAACGGTGCCTTGGGCCGTTGTGCTGGGCCAGCAGGGCCCGCGGCTCTGCTCTGTGCAGCCCTAATCCGCCCGGCTCAGGTGGCTGCTGCTGTCCCGTCTCTTCTCTTTGTGCGGCCTCCCCGGCCACGATTGTGTCGCTAATCCCGGGCTCAGGCTGCGGTCCCGAGCAAGGGGCAGCCTAATCCTGCGGCGGAGCCTCTTGTTGTGGCACTCACGGGCGGGCACGGAAAGGGCGAGAGCCTTTGGTGCTGCCAGCCGGCACCAGCGTTGCATGTGAGCATGAGAAAAGCCCAGAGGTGCACACATCTCTCTCCCTGTTCTGTGCCACAGGTGCTTGGTGGAATTTCCTGTTTCTCTTCATTTGTCTTTGGCAGGGTGGCTTCTCTGAAAGGCCTCGTGCCATGTCCTGGACTAGCAGAGCAAAACACTTATCTTGACTCTGTTAGGTAGGTTTGTGCAAGACCCAAAAGCCTGCAGCAATGGTTAAAAACTTAACTAGGTGAGTCACTGCTTTCATTGGGCGCCAAGCAACCTTGCAGCTTCTGGTGCTCTTCTTGGAGTTTCTCCTGCATGTTGCCCTCGGCTTGTTTCAGGGAGCAGTGTCGCGCTTTGATTTCTGGGGCTGAGGCACCCATGATCAGTCGCACTTGGTCCTGTTAGCAGGATGCTGCTGTGGAAGTGTTTACATTGTAGGGGACCATCCTATGTCCCTGTCCTGACCAGGGATGCTGTACAATTTCCCTGGGAATATTTCCCTGGAAACATTTCCCAGGCCAGCCACTTCCTAGCCTTATAGCAAAGCCTATGTGTGCTGTCCCAGCTGCCTTTGGGTTCTCCTGCTGCTGTTTGTCTTGGGAGGGCCTCCTCACACTTCGGTGCTGCTTGGTGCTCAGCCAGCCGTGCAGGCTCTGCAGCAAGTTTGCAGGCACCAGCGTTCGGAGCATGCTTGCCTCCTCTGTCGTGGCCTTCCAAGCTCAGTGGTGCCTTGCTGTGAAGGGACAGACTGTTTCTTCTACGTGCCCTGTTACAGGAGGATGGGGAGATGCTGAGGGTACCTGCAGTCAGGCCAGGGCTCCCTACTCTGATGCCTTCCTGGCTTTGCAGGCAGCATTCCATGGCCTGAGAGACTGCCTCTTCTATAGGCAGTTGCCTGTCTTTTCACAACTACTGCCTTTATCCTAAGCCTTTTTCCTCACAAAAATCTTGCTGGCAGGCTCAACAAGAAACCCCATGTTGATCTGTCTTGCTGCTGCTTATGAATTTGTCTTCCAAGTTAGGACAGTGTCAGTTGTGATCATTTGCAAAGACCAACTAGAAGTATGTGAAATGCATTTTATGTTACTCTATACCACACCATTGCATGCCATCTGCACGTGGAGTGCTGTGTCCAGCTCTGGGCTCACAACAATGAGAGACCTGTCCCTACTGGAGAGGGTCCAGGGCAGGGACTGGAGAGGGTCCAGGGCAGGGCGACCAAGACGGGGAGGGCCCTGGAGCATGTCTCCTGTGAGCAGAAGATGGGGGAGCTGGGACTGCTCGACCTGGAAAAAAGAGGTCTGGGAGGGATCTTACCAGTGTGTACAAACACCCGAAAGGAAGGTGTCAAGGGGAGGGCGTCCGATTCTTGTCAGTGGCAGCCAGCGACAGGAGAAGAGGGAACTGGCACAGACGGAACCCGGGGAAGTTCTGCCTGAACCTGAGCAAAATCCTGTCGAGCACGAGAGAGGCCGAGCTGTGGGGCGGGCTGTGCAGGGAGGCTGTGGGGTGTGGAGGCCGAGCTGTGGGGCGGGCTGTGCGGGGAGGCTGTGGGGTGTGGAGGCCGAGGTGTGGGGCAGGCTGTGCGGGGAGGCTGTGGGGTCTCCCTGGCTGCAGATGTTCAGAACCCCCTGGACACGATGCTGTGCAGGGCGCTCGAGGTGACCCTGCTTGGGCAGGGGCTGCGCTGCGTGGTCTCCAGAGGCCCCTTCCCACCTCAGCTGCTCTGTGATTCATACCATTTTAAACCGTACCATACTGTTTTATACCATTCCAATGCATTTTACACCACTGCATTGCACCTTGACCCCTTTCATTTCATTTTATAACCTGCCATTGCATTTTATACTCTAACATTATATACCTTTCCATTTCATTTTAGGCCACTCTGTTGCATTTTACGTCCTTTCATTTTACAGCATTGCAATTTTAATTTTTCTATTCCATTTTATGCCAATTTATTTTATAGGATTTTATTTTGCTTATGCCGTTTTGTGTTAGACCCCTGCTCTCTTCCATTCCATTTTCTAGCCTTCCATTCAATTTTAGCTTTTGATTTTATAACATTCTATTTTGTATGATTGCGTTCACTTTTTAACAATTCAATTCCATACTTTTTTGTACCATACTAGTCCATTTGATAATATGCCATTTCATCCAAATCCCTTTTATGCTCTTTCATTCCAGTTTATACTTTTTGTATAACTTTGTATTTTATACTATGCCCTTTTGTACCCTTCCTTTCCATTTTGTACTCTTTTTTTTTTTATACCTTTCGCTTCTGTTATATTCCCTTCCTTTTCATTCTGATGCATTTTATACTGTTCCATTTTCTTCCACTCAAATCTGTTTTATACCATTCCATTTTCTTTTTATGCAATTGCATTCCTTTTTATACTATTCCACTTTATACCACTTTATGGCATTCAATTTTATTTCCTTCAGTTCCCATCTGTACCCTTCCCTTCTGTACTCTATCCAACATTCCATTTTATACTCTTCCGTTTTATACCCTTCCATTCCTTTTTATACCATTCCATTCTATTCTATATTTCTTTTTGTAATTTCATATTATCATTTTGCATAGTTTCATTTAGTACCACTTTTTTGTATAATTTCATGGTTTCATATCAGTTCATTTTGTATAATTTCCTTTCACACCGTATAAAATCATACCACATCATTTAATAATATTTAGTATCATATGATTAAATATAATATATAATTTCATATATTTCATATTCCGTATCCTTTTATATCATATCATTTATATCATAATTACTTTTCATATATTCTAACACTTAATTTTGTCATGATATATCGTTTTATTTGATCTTGTATAATCATTTTACAACAGTATTTCATATCAAATCTTAAGTAATTTAATTTCACATAACTCATTTCATATAATTTCATATCTTTTCATTTCATATAATTTCATGTATTTATACATTTTTCTAGTTGATTTATGAAATAGTTTTATATTTTTCTTGTATCATTTTGGATCATTCTGTGTAATTTAATTTTATATCCTTTTAAGTCTTTTCATTTTATATCATTCCGTTTCATTTAGTTTCATGCCATTTTATATCTTTTCATTAAATATGATTTCATTTCCTATAATTAAATTTAATGTCATATCATTTTATATCATATTTTAGCACATCTATTTTATATCATATAACACCATTTCATGTCATTTACTGTCATATCATTTCATATTTTCATTCAATATATTTTTTTATATTTCATTATTTAGCACTTTGTATCTTTTCATATATCATAGAATCATAATGGTTGGAAAAGAACTTTAGGACCATAAAGTCCCACCCCATACATCCCATCACCACCATACATCATTTCATAGAATATTCAAGCTTGGAAGGGACCTCTAGAGCTCATCCAGTCCAGCCCCTGCTCCAGCAGGGACACCCAGAGCACGGGGCACAGGGCGGCATCCAGGCGGGTTGGGAAGATCTCCAGAGCAGGAGACTCCACAGCCTCCCTGGGCAGCCTGTGCCAGGGCTCGGGCACCCTCACAGCCAAGAAGTTCCTCCTCACATGGAGACGGAACCTCCTGTGCTCCAGCTTATGCCCATTACCCCTTGTCCTGTCGCTGGCCACCAATGAAAACAGCTCGTCCCCTTCCTCCCTGCATTCTCCCTTCCTGAACAGTATGAATTTCATACTCCTTTGATATCATTTTAATTTTGTCTTTTTCATATCACATATCATAGCACATATTTTTTATCCTATATCTTATTTCAGATTGGTTAATGGTGTCAATATAATCTCATTTTATATCATTTTATATAATTTCATATAATTTGTTTCATCATTTCATTTTGCATAATATATACAATTTAATAACGTATCTATTCATGTCATATAGAAGTTCTTAATATGTCATTTTATATCATATATATCATTTTATAGCACTTCATATCACATTTCATGTATTATTTGTTTATTATTATTATTTATCTTTTTGTATGATTTTATATTGTTTCATTGCTTTTCATGTAATTTCACATCATTTAATGTACCATAGCTTATTATGTCATTTTATATAATTGCATTTCACTTTATCATATATAGTTTTATATGATAGCATTTCAAATAATTTCACATAGCATATAATTTCATATATAATATTATATGTCTGTATTTTTCAAATAATACTGTTATAGCCTTGTATATCATAGATTTTTATATAACTTTGTATCAGTTAATTTTATATAATTAATTTTATATAATTTTATGTTTTCAAATACCTTGATTTTGTATGATTTCATATAATTTTGTTACATATTGTTTCACATAATTTCGTATCATTTTATATCTTGTGTCATTTTGTATCTTACCATTTTATACTTTAGCTATTGTTTTTTCTTTGTTTTAATCCTGTCAGCAAATGGAGTGGTATTTTGAATGTAGGAGTCTCAGAATATCGGGAGGGCCTATATAGGTGTTTGCCTGCCAGCAGGTTGTCCTCGTGCCATTGTGTGCCTTCCCACACGATGTGCCTCATTCTGTGCATGTTGCTGTGGACCTGCAGGGCCACAGAAGGCGGCACAGACCTTGCTCGTAACGTGAGTGTCAGCAACCTTCAGTCGTGCAAAGTGGCAGTGTGGGTAAGAACGGGCTGAGCTGCTCAGTAGCGCCTGTTGGAGCAGGAGCAGCACTGGCAACCGCTGCTGCTGGCGTTGCCTTCCAGCCATGGGCAGAACTGCTCTGGCTGGTGTGAGCCTTGCCGAGGTCAGTACACGTGTGCCTTCCCTCTGCAGCAGTGCGCCGTGCGGGGCAGTGCGCCCAGCTGTTCGGCTGTGTCTGCGCAGGTGTTCCTCACGTGCCATCCTGCAGATGTTGGCTCCTGCTGCTGGGAGTGCTCTACAGCAGCTGGGGAATGCAGGGCCTTCCACAGATAAGAGATTTCCATGTCTGTGTGCTGAGAGAACGTTGTTGGCCCTGCTGCTCTCTAACTCCATCCGTCCCAGGCCATCGTTAGAGAAATAAAATATTCACTAGAGTCCATATCAACACGCAGCATGTCACAGGATTCTTTTTGCTTTGTAGGGCTTGGAGCTTGACCATAGCACCTGCTCAGTGCCATGGGAAGCAGCAGGAGGCTCAGGAAGATACCCCGTGATGTCTCTGAGTAGGGAGGAGATCCGAAATTAAATTTGCTTTCATGTGTCTCAGCACGTGGGCAACATCAGTTCCAGGGCTACTTTCTAACATTCCAGAAGACATGGTGAGAGAGGGTGACAGCTGCCCTTCTCTCTCCTCAGTAATATTCTTAGGTTAAGAGGGGAGGTGACTTGCAGTTGGATTATCCACATCACTCAAAGTGTGACTTTTAGTGGTGCTTATATTGTGTGGTAGTGCTGAGGGAGAGTATGGTGCTGATCCCCACGGCGAGGTTGCAGAAACACAATAGTTTCTGAGCTGACTAAGTACGTGAGTTGACCACGTACTTACGTACGTGGTCAAAGTGTTCTTGGAGTCTGTTTCCCTTGAGGGACCTGTCTGGTACCATATGTGTTCAGCTTGGAATTGTGCACTGTGGTAAATATATGTACGGAGAGATGCTTGAAGGAGAAAGGGATGAGGCTTTTCTTGTTGTGGCTGTCCAGGCAGACCTTACATCCCTTCTATGAAGGCTATTGTGCTGCCCCATTGCAGGAGACCCTTAGTTGTGCCTGGAAGGTTGAAGGATTTCTGTGATGCTGCCAGCAGGCTGCAGAACCTCTTCACACGCACTGTGAGCATGGGGTGTGAATGGGTAAGTGAAACCCAGCAGTGGATGTGCTGCTCTTGGTCCTCCTGCGGTTGGAATGAGTGACTTTCACTTTAGTCTTGTAGCACGTAGATTTCCCAGATGTGTTTACATTTGACCCACTGCTAAGCACTACTAGGGCATCCTCTGTGGCTTCGGGAAGATGCTGTCCTGGACTGTCAGTGCCTTGTACCGTTTTGAAGGACAGAAGTATTATTTCTGGTTTGAGGGCCACCTCACTGCTGAAGAGTTATGCCCTGTTAGGGGGATAGCAGAAAAGCAGCGGAGAAGGGATCCTATCAAATCTGTAGGATGCTACTTTAGTTGTGATTTGAGGCCATTTTCCTGTTTGTGGTTGTGTTGTGTCAGTATGAATAAATGCAGGGCTGTATTAATGGTGTGCATGTCTTGGGTTCCTGTTGCTGTTGACACTAAACGCAGTGCAATGCTTGACTGCTGTCCTGACACCAGTATGTGCAAAACACTAAAGTGTTTAGTAATGGTAAAAAGTTCACCACTTATCCGGGACCAGGTGAAGCTGGAAAAATCCTTCTTCCTCCAGCTAGATGTATGTGGAATGTATTTTAAGTATAGATCTTCCAAGCAAATGGAATGGTATTTAGAGCTTAGGACCTGAATCAAAGCAGTTTTCTTTTTTCTTTCAGACCTGAGAAGAGACTGACTATTCCACCACGTTTTCAGAAGGAGCTGCAGGTTCACCTATCCAGAAAATCTTCTGTGGATCTGAATGGTAAATTTGCTTGGGAAGAGATTTTTTTGTCCATATTGCTGGTGTCGTATTAGATGTTCTACTAAATAGAATACAGCTCAACTCAATTTGAACGAAGATTGTTTTGAGTGAGAACCAAATTCTGTGAATGAGCTTTCTTACTCTGAGGTCTTTGCTCCTGGGGAAACTTACATAGCTGCTTGTCTGTCTCTATCAGTCTTTAAGAGAAATTCTTGTGCAGTAAATGTCAAAAATAATTTTATAGAGAGCACGAGTAGGAGGGATTGTGCTTAACTTGACTGGTAGGGTCAGTGACTGTGATCTGATCACGAATGGTGAAATCCATCCTGATTTTCAGGAGCAAGTTGTTAAATGAATGCAAGCGCACAAACCTACTTCTGCAGAAGACCTGCCTGTTTGCTTCCCATAGGTTAAGCACTCAACAGCTTGTCAAATGATGCCGCTTCTTTTGAGCCTGGCTGAGCTGTGAAACTACAGGTCTGTTAGCAAATACATTTCTCTGTGAAGAGAAAGGAGTAGTGATGAGGGAGCAGATGAACTAGTGTTGTGAAACTCCCATTCGCCTTTCTCCAGCATGAATTGTGTGAAAGTCGCATGGACAGTTACTGTGTCCTTCCTTGCTTTGTTGGGGAGGTTTTTTGGAGGCCAGTAGCACAAGGCAATCAACTAAATCTGTGGTAGGATTTACACTTCTCTCTGAACTGAGAAAAATATTCTCTGATGTTTTGCTGCAGCTTTGCTCTTGTGCTTCTACTCAATGAGGCTATGTTGTGTAACTCTCTAACTCTTTTGATATTGCCTTCATGTAGCCCCTCAGCATCAGAGGGGTGAAGATGAGCTTTCCTCATCTCTTTAGGTGTTTGAGGTAGCATAACTGAAGGTTTTGGTGTTTCTGCATTGTCTGCCAGGATCATTTCTGAGAAAACACTAACAACCTCTGATGAAAATATCAGTGATGGTGAAAACACAGCTGGAGATCAACAGCTTGCCTAAATGTATGATGCCTCTGTGCCTCAATAAGAGGCTTTTGAAAAGGATCTGCAGTGCAGAATGAAAACAGTGTTTTAGACCTGGTGTTATACTATCAGCTCTCATGTTTCACTTTTTGACATGTGTGCCTTCAAATGTCTTTCTCTCTGCTGTTGGAATGGCTGTTTCCTTCAAGACTCTCTTTGTGTTTAAACAGATAACTTGAATGCGTCTGTTCAGGAGACACATAGCGGCTCTTCTGCTCCTCACACCAGTGAAGTTCAAAGTCGCGTTAAGGAGATTCTGACAAAGTACAGCAATGGCATCTGGCTGTCAAAAATGCCTCAGATTTACCAGCAAATGTACCACGAGGAACTTAGCACAGCTGTGCTCCGTCACCTGGAATATTGGCCTCATGTGTGCACAGTAAGTATTTAATGTCTTGTCTTGTTTTGGTTTGGTTTTTTTTGTTTTGTGGAAGATATCAATAATGTTCCGATTCCTGAGTGTTTGGTTACCATATGTTGTTTTAGGTACTCTTACATTTTCTTTCAGAATTTGTAGCAGTGGCAAATTGAAACAATGCCTTTAAAACAACACCCAAAAAATCCTTTTGGCCAAGATGGCTTTGCTTTGGGGGAGAAGAGTTGGCTTCTGTGGCCTACTGGAGTGAATGCTCAGTACTGCCAAACTACCACCTTTGTCTAACTCCAAAATTGATGGTTCCACCATGTGCTGATGACCCTTCCCCTTTATGTCTTTTTTTTTTTTTCCTGCCTTGGTTTGATGCTTTTCAATGTTGGTGGGTGTTTTCCTCTTGAATCTGTAAGCTATCAGCAATCCTGATCTTAGCATTCTTAGGTCTGGCTGTCACTTTATCTCTGTGTAGGGTCTGTGGGCTTTTCCACAGCTCTCTCACATCAATCAGTCAAGGTTACAGAACTGTGCTCTGTGTATTAGGGTTGTGATGCATTAGTATTTATTAATATTAAGAATATTAAGTTATAATGCTGGAGGGGAAAGGGACTGTAGCTCAGGCCTTCCTGCCTCCTGGTGAGAGCTGTTACTTTTTTGATAATCAGAGGCATCCTCTTCACCTTCGGGGGTCTAGTGTCAGGCTGGAGATTGGCTTACATCTGTCTCCTGTGAGTTGCCTTCACAGTTGCGTAAAGGGTGATCAGTCACAAAGCTTTTACCTTCAGTCCAGTCTTTTTCTTGTCACCGTGGTCCATACTGCTTTACACCAATGCTTTGTTTGCATAACATTCATTATTAACAAACACTTTTAACTTGATGAGTATTTGTCAATTCAAGACACCAGGAATACTGAAGCAGTGAGGTTCCTCACCTACCTGAAGTGACTTGGAAAAAAAAAAAAAACCTTTTTTTTGTAATTCAAGTTTTTATATTATTTCACTGATATTAAATACTTACTCTTTGGAGATAGCAATTGTTTATCCATTTCTTGCATGTAACAAGTGAAGAAATTCATTTTTAGCATCAATATGCAATCACTGAACCTGAAAGTATACAGCATGTATTGTACAACAGCAACCAAACCCTCTAGTTCCCTTGTCATAAGACTGCAGTCAGTCTTATTGCAGAGAACTGTTAACAAGTTTCTTAAGTTATGTAGCCTGCCTATTATCAAATCTACCATATATTGTATATATGTGATATAGGGAGAAGCGTATATATACATGTGTATGTAAAGCGTGTACGCATATATATATGTATATAAATGTTATTCTCGTTAGTTTTATTCTTGTGATCTGCAAATAAGCAGCTCTTTGGGTCCTGTGAAATGCCCTAGGGCAGGCTTAACTCTTTAGTATTAGTAAAAATGATTCCATTTCTAAACTACTTGGGCCTTGTGTGGTATGTAAATAGAGAGGGTTTGCTGGCCTCAAAAAAGCAGGAAAAATGTGTGGTGTTTCTCTCAGCATCTCCTTAAAGAGCCAGCACATACTGTAATTGAATACATGATGATAAAATTAGTAGCTTAATTACAAACCAGGAAACAATAAACTCTGTAACATTTTTTTTTCAATGTCACTAAATTAATCACTTCAGGCCTTTGCCGTGGACAACATCAATTGTAAACCACATAGCTAGAATTTCCTCTGGAAGGAAGGATTTTACTTTTAGAAAATGGTGATTTCTATATTCAAGTTACAACCACTAGTAACAAATTTTCCAACTTAGAGAGCTGAAGTCCCCATAAAGTATCATAAATTACAAGCTGAGAGGCTTACTTTCAGACCCCGTTTTTCCATAGTCTGGAGGGGAAAAAAAAATCTACTTCTGATCATTCATCCAACTTTTCTTTTTTTCTTCTAGAATCTTACACCTTCCTATTTTGATGGATTTCTATTGTCCTTCTCACACCTTTTCTCACAACTTCATAATTTCCTCTAGAATCCTGAGTCAGTTATGTAGCTTTGTTTGGGCTTAGCCTTGGATACTTGGGTTTGAATTACCTGGAATCCTTACCTGAATAACTGAGAAAGTACAATATGGAAGTGTCTAGAGAGAAGGGGTTACAGGCTTTAAAGAAAAAAAAATCTTTATTTCTGAAAGTCAAAAATGACTGAAAATTAACAGTAAATGCATATTTAGTTTTTGTAGCATACCATGGTTCCTTTTTGCAGTTAAAGGGCAGTTATAAACTACCTTAGTGAATGCTCTAAAGGGCTTTCCATTTGCTTAGATCTTTCATCTTGATGAACTTCCCTGGGAGCCACTGAGGTTGGTTATGGAGATCCAGGAGAAAATTCAGTTCCTACATTTCTTATCAGAACTTTTACTTGAATTTCAAAAGTTCTTTCCCTGAAGTTTTTAGAGTAATATAGCAATTCTAAGGATAATGGGAAAGGTCCTACCATGAATATAGAACTGGATAAAAGTTTGGGAGTAAAGTTTATAGTTTATTAGTTTATATAGACAGGAAATGATGAAGATATGGGCTGTAAGATAAGTGACCTGGAGAAGGGAAAAACAGACTCCAATCATCTTCATCGATTCAGAAGCAACTTAGCCTACTCCCTGAGACCATGAAGCATCAGTTATGAATTATTTAATTCCAAAATACTTATAGACCTCAGTTCTGAAATATCTGAAGTGGAAGATGTGTCACTACACTTACCCTGTCTCTGCTTTCCTAGACTTCTGCTGTTGCTGCTGTCAAACAATATCAGACAATGAAAATTTTGTTTTGATCCCATACAGTTCTATTATGCTGATTCAAGCCTATTTAGTCATAATTTCACGTCTGATTCTTTCAAGAACAGGGTTGGTGCTGGCTTTTTTATGATAGTGGCTTTTTTTTTATTGTTTGGACATCAAACCAAGAAGATAATAGCAAAATATCAGTCTCCCTGAGATGCTTGCAGGATGAAGCTGTCTTCTGTCATCCTGCATAACCTTTCTTGCCAAAGTCTCTCTTGCAGTTGGAAGACAGAGCAGATAGTGGCAGCAATATTTAACTGACAGAGAGGATGACTTTTTCTCTTGTCATGGCTTTTAACTGTGACAATAGCTGTCTTAGTTTTTATGTCTTTCCACAAGCTTCTTTAGGAGCTTGTGGAAAAATAACCTCAGTGTTATGAATTATGCTGTGTATTTTTAAAACAAATATCTACTTTTTCTTATGCTGTTGGCCCCCGCTACTTACTGTGTAATGATCTGTTGTCATCAGATGTCAGTTTAAACTCTAGTTATGAAGCTTCCTCAGTTTCTTGTCTTCAGTCTTTTTTAATAAGCCTATGCATAAAAAAAAGTGCAATATCTGAGCGCATTCTTCAGTGGGCTTATTAACTTTGATGTTGAGTTCATGCATATGCTTCTCAGACTGGCTTACTTAGAATAAGTTGGAGATTTTGTCCAGAAGGAGATAACTTATTATTCTTTGCTTTGCTGATCTAACTTCCAGCATGGTGCTAGGCAGAGCTTCCTGCAGGAAAATTTTGGATAAAAGAAAGAAGAGAGTTAGGGAATGGGATTTTTTTTTTTTTTTTAATCAACTGAACCTACCGTCTTATTAAGCCTTTGACTTTGCTTCCAAGGAACATTCACAACTTTTATAAACTTCATGTGATGAGAAAAATTCCAAGGACTAAATAATGACAGAGAAGAGGAAAAAAAAACTTCTTCTAAGTTTGTCCCTGGGCTGTGTCTTCTCCCCAAGTGAACCTGATACTGTGTCCTACTTGGTCTGGCAGCTGAATGCTTGCTGAGCTGTTCAGAATTAATTGCACAAGTCAGCTCGGAGGAGAGGGGGGTTTCCATAGGAACCACTTGTATTCCTTGGGCTGCTTTAGTGCTCTCAGGCTTTAATTCCTGGGAAGGCATTTCTATACCGTGATTCAGCAGTGTGATACAAAAGGCATCATTCTCAAAGAAATCGATTTGAGATGCTGTAATACACAGTGTGTGTTTAAAAGCTGAGGCTGGCTTTGAATTTGGAGCATAGGCTGAAGAGAGATTGTGGCTGGGAGCACGAATGACTGGCAGGCTGCAGTATTTTACACTACCTCTGCCTGCCGGCTCCTGCATATGACTGCTAATACTGCTACCTGATGCTATGTCCTTTTCTTTGCCTTACTCACTCAAGAGTTCAGTCCTTGCTCTGACACTTCAGGTGGCCTTTTAGTGGATGCTAAACACTGAGCTACCGATTACTGAGCATGGAGTCATGGCACAAGTGTTGTGGCTAGACATCCATTGTGTGCTGTGTATATGCCACCAAGCAAAATACAGTTTGTATCTGCCTACAATGATTTTTTGCTCTCTCAGAACAAAAGGAAGTATAGAAACAGACCTAGGTATGGCATGTGTTTCAATGCTACAGTTAAATATGGAAGCAATGAGAACTAGAAGTAAGCTTCAGAGTCATTGCAGCATCTGAAATGTGTTATAACAGGCCTGAGATTTAGGAGGGAAAATCTTAGGTGATGGTAACTGAAATTCAAAACTGAACCAGTTCATCAAACACAGCATAATGATGTGTGGTTTGGTTGAAGTCCTGTGGGACTAGGCCCTGAAAATGCTGCAGTAGATCTCAGGGATATATACGGTGCCTAGTTGATAAAAGGCTTCACAACCTTGTAAGGGAAGTTGCTGCTGATCCTGATTTCTAAAGAGTTTCTAATGTGTGAGAATTTCTAATGAGTGAGAAGTTACCACTCTTTCTATGGAGAAGGAAATACTATTTGTGCAGAAAGTATCAGGTGTTTGCTTGCTGCTTTTTCTAGTATTACAGTGTGAAGCACATGAACTGTCACTCTGAGTTGGCTGCCTTAAATAGGAATGGTAGTAATCTGTCAGAAAAGAAAAACAGTAGGGTAAGGAAGACAGATTTTTTTTTTCCGTACAATAGCTGTTTCTGGCAATGAAAAGATTCTGCCAGACAGAGTTATGAACGCAAG